TTACCTCAAGTTGCTTGGTACCTGTAGCTTAAAGCTTTCTTACTTAATGCTTTAATATGAACGGGTACCTTGTGCACTCACTTTGCAGCTGTGACTTCATTCTCATGTCAGACTAGACTCAAGTGGATATACATACATAATGTCATGAGGTTTGTAGGGTTGACAGCGACACCTGTTCAGAATGAGTTACCTCAAACACTCTATGCCGTTAACTTACATGCCAAGTAAAAGATGCTTGCTGACTTCAAACTTTCTTGTCTTTCTTGTTGCCTGTGGTACATGTACATGTGCATATCTTCTACAAGTATGGATTTATCGGTGTAATTACCCAGTATACCAATTTACATGTTGATGAAACTCCAGATTGCCCAAATCATACATGTGGTGCACATGCATTGTGGAAGCTACCGGTATTGTCACTTTTTTTGTCGACACCTCATTGAGAAGAAAACAGTGCCTATTTAAAGAAAATCTGAAAGTTGAAACAGGGAAGAAAGAAGCACCTCCTGGAAATCCATCAACTGCGTCATTCTACTCTATCTACCATCAATGCTACTTCTTTATGAGGAATGTTATAACACAATACATGCCACAGTTAAAAATCCTGCATAACCTTTCAATAGTCAACCTCCCATGCCCGGGCTCACATTTCACACACGTGCGTAAATCCCCATTTAATAATCCTCCCGATAAAATCGAAGAAGGAGGGGAAAAGGCAAGAAAATAGGCTGCCCAGTGTGGACTCTTGACTTTCAAAAGTCAATAGCATTATGGGGTGTCAACCTGAGCACAGATGATTTCAGAGGTAGTTTGATTTCTGCGTGGTGACCTTTTGATATTAAGGCAGGGAACAATGTTTCTTGGGACTGTTGATATCGATGCCCAGAAGTCGCTTGACTTTTTTCTTCTCCCTCTGTCTTTTCTGTCTCTGTCTTTGCCTGTTACTCAAGTGGGAAACAGTGGCATCAGTAGGTACACTATTCAAAGGATCTGGCACTCTTTTCAGTCGTGAATATATTGCACATTTGTGAATATTTTCTCTGTCTGGTTTAGAAAGATGAGGAAACCATGTGTATTGTCCAGCTCATATGCATTGTTTATTATGTACAGTAGACATGTTTTGAGAACACAAGGTTTATACATGTATGTAATTTTTTTTCCTGTTTAAATGTTTTGTAAATATGGTAAGAGAGGAAAGGGCTCCAAATGAGAAATGATGCTGAAGAGTGTTTGTGCATGGTCATATTGGCATCTACGTATACAATGTACATCCATGTGCTCTTGTGTTGGATACTCCATTGTTCACAGGTACAATGTACAGTGTATGTGTAGTCTTCTTCAATTAGCACTTTCCTTCATGAGGGTTTTGATTGCGCAGCAAGGTTACATAAACAACCTGTAAAGTATTGTACCTGTCAAGTGTAAGTGCATTCGTGTACATGGCACAGTTGTATGCATATTGCACACTTCTGGTACATTCATGAGCACTGATATGTTAGAAACCAATGCTTGGTTCATGGCATTTTCTCTGGAGGGGTTGCACACATTGCACATGTATGCTACTATTATTTACCAAACTTACGCAAGGGCCAACTGGTACTTTGTGCCTCATGTATATGTACATGTATCACATACTTGTACATGTCTAGACATACATGCCTTACCTACATGTATGTGTACAGTATTGGTACAAACACTGTACATGCACCGTTCAACTTCAGCGTACATGTACAGTATAAAACATGCACATGTTCAGTTTATGTTATGAGAGAGTAGATTTCAATGCTTTTGTTTGAAGTGGAATGGACACTGATCGTACCCAAACAGTGTTTTGAACAGGTGTCAAATTTAAAAGAAAAACATGCCTGATTGCCTGTGTGTCCATAAAAGTGTTACTAGCCCAGGAACACTAGGGCTATTCCCTACATTTATGTACATGTCGTTTACAGTGTACGTACATATTCTCTCATTAAAAGGCACTCTTCCAAACTGACTGTTCGAAGCATCCATGCACGCAAATGTAAGAGTACCTATACATGTAGTCGACAGGTGGAACTGATACATAAAATTGGCTCCTAAAGCTGTTAATCAATAGTAATAAGTGTTGAAAAAGAAAAGGACTGTAATTATTTATTTCAAGTTTGAATCACTGTTAGGTAGTAAACTTGTTATAATCCGACCATTAAAAATCCATTTGCTTTTTTGAGCTGTCGATGTAAACTGATAAAAACTAGGTGTGTGCAATGAGTGAATTGCAGTAGTCATGGTGACTATCAATAAAAAGTCACGCCTACTAGCTTTTTTTCCTATTAAAACCGTGTCTGCATTTGCATAACAGGGTTAATCCGAGATGATGTCACACTGTGCGTTTGGTTGGAGTTCACACTTTCTTAAATGACATAAATGTATGAGGCAGTTTTGTAAGATAAAAAAATTGTCAAAAATGCTTGTGACATTCCTTAATTGTTTCTGCTTACTTTTTTTTTGGAAGGAAACCCTCATTTCCGTGGTGCTGTAGGCAACAACTTTCGAAGAGGTGAAAATGCCATGTGTTTATATATATTCAGCAGTGTTCAAATGGTGCCTGACGCACAACACAATGCCACAGTAGAGGACAGGGACCAGTTTATGGCCAGGCTGTATGGGGCCCCGGGCTACCTATACCTTCAGTTAGAGTCTCATGGTAATAAAAATGTCAAATAGACATCGTGGAGAAAGGAATTTACGATGGGTTAATTCACAGAACACAATTTTATCTTTTCTATGTATGTATTCCCTATTGTAATGTCTTTATTTCTAGGCTGTACTACTCTATCTCAAGACAGTGCAGCCATACAGCTTTGCAAATTTTTTAGAAATTTTATACGGCATGAAGTGGTTTTCGTATCATTGCCTGTGTGGGCCCACCACATGCACAATATAGCTATTGGTAGCTGTGTACTCTAATGCTGTGTGATATACGGCCATTTGTTTGCCACTATGTCTCCTAACATGGTATGCATGACTCCAGTTTTTGTTTATTATAAGAGTCAACGAATTCGGATACATTTGTACAGACAGTTAATGCAAAGTTTTGTCACTTTTGAGAGCTGGTTTTGACAGCTTATATCCAAACTACACATCTTTAATTAGGGTTCTCTGTTCTTGACAGCTGAAAAAAAAATCCCTTAACATCTCATGAAGGAATTATCCCAATATGTATTGATGGACTAGTTTCATACAGGACACTAATTATTTAGCCACAGTTTCTTGGCATTGTAAATACAATGTACATGTACATGAATGCTGCAGCGCACATGGAGCAGTTCGCTCTAATGTTAATGACTTTACTAACATGCATAATGCATATAAAGATGGGCGAGGTGCATCCCAGATAGTCAGTCACATTCATATGACTTGGAGTCTCCAATTTTTTTAATAGGCGGGACGACCTAGTTTCTTATACTGGTAATAAGCATTATTGTTATATAAAATGATGTCCAGAAAGCTTATGATGAATCAAATATTGTTAGATCACTGTGTGTAGTGTGTAATTGTTACTATGAAAACAAATCATTTTGTTTTTATTTCACAAACATTACAAATGAAATGAACTTTTGAATCATCCCTATTTTTTTCAATGAATTGGAACCAGGCACCACACAATTCTACAAGTCATCCTTTTGAGTGAGGTTGGATCACACAGATTTACATGTACACGTTAGAAAAATTAAATTAAAATGAAATTTGTGACTAATCAACGAGATTCAATTATAGTATGTACATGTACATTCAACACAAATACTTTATTTATTCTGCAGACATGCATAAAACACAATTCCTTAGCTCAAAGCATAGACTCATGGCCCTGTGAAAGATGTAGTAGTCCATGCCCACGTGGTGCTCTGAGCAGTTACATGTATGTCAGGATTGGACCAGTTGTCCATATGAAGACCTGTACGTGCTGTGCCGGCACACGGTGTGTTAGCGCGATGTGCGATGTGCCTCAACTGTTCAAGGAACCTTGTTGTACAAATTGTACGTGTAGATACATGTAGTACATTGTGCATTTCTTGTGTGTGCTGCACAGCACGACGCTTGTGCTGTGTCATAGCGCTGCACTGCGGGGACTGAGTACTCCACTGTGTAGTTAAGTTGTGGGCATACATGTAGGTGAATAGTCGCGGGCGTAGGCTACAAGTTCCACAGGTTGTAACATAGTCTAACTAGTCACCGCATAACGACTAGTCAACCATCTGAAAATTGATAGTTGTGATCACAAAAACCTTTTGGTATTGGCAAATGATTGGTGACTAGTCTACTAGTTGCATTATTCAAACGGGCCTACTGTAAACTAACTTTTTCTTCAATAGTAATGCATGTACATGTATGGTATTGACATTTGTGAGTACATGTATACCCACATGCACCTAGATTTTACAGGGTTTGCAATTTCAAGAATAGGCATTCCTGTATGTCATGTGAGACTTGTCTGCTCCCAAAGTTTAATTTAGGATACACGTAAAATGTGCACAGAAGAAAACCAATCAGTGAGATTTCCCAGAAACTGCAGTTTCTGAGTCCACTGCAGTGTGATGCTTATTCACGTTTGTCCAAATGGGGAGAACTGAAAGTCTGTATTGTGCACAGAGTAAAGGAAGAAGGAAGCTTAGAGGCATCACATCCTTCCTGATTAAGTTTTAGAAAAAAAATGCTTGCACCCTTTGAATTTATTATTGAGTGTGTAATTTTAGATGTGAGCTTACCAAGATTTTGCTGATGTGAATTCTGTTTACTTTGCTAATTTATTGTATTGGTTCATGACAGTGAGCCAGTGAGCAAACTTTTCTCTCAGACGTTATCAGCAATACAATTTAGTGTTTGAACAGAGAACTCTTCACATTAGAAGTATCTTCCTGTAAAGATGTCACAGTAGTTCATGTCAGGAAAAATGCCTGAAAAAAATATGCTCTTAAGTGAGAATAACCAAAAAGTCTTCTTCCTGGTTTTATTTGTTTCAGAACAAACACTCAGAACGAAAGCGGCCTCATTCTGAAGCTACCAACGGTCCAGATCCCTCCACTGTCTGCGAGTCCCAAGCCAATGGATTTGATGATACAGCCAGCAAGCGCCCTTGCACAGAAATCTCTGTCCAGATTGTTCAGAAGACAGGGGAGCAGACTGATCTGACGGTGACCACAACAATCCAGCAATCGGGGGACAGCTCTGCTGAGGCCAGCAATAACAACATGAGGTCGCAGAATGGCTGCAAGACCTCCGAGTGCCCATCAACGGTCAACCAGAGCAATGGCCAACACCAGGGGTGGACCGATGATAAACGGCAGGATCTGGAGAAGCTCTTGGATGACCCCGAGCGTCTAGAGGAGTTCATGAAGCAGCTGGAGAATGATCCGGAGCAGATGAAAAGCTTTGAGGCTGAGCTTGAAAAGATATGCAACAAGATCCAGCAAGACTTGGGCGATGGGGCCTTCCCTGACGCTGCAAACCTAGACAGCCAGCCTGCACAGGAGGTGAACTCAGGTGGTGATGCTATGCCAGTTGCCAGTGGCTCGCCAGTTCTCCCTGCAGTTCCTAGCCTTTCGGATGGAACAAAGCTGCCCAGTAAGCAAGGCGCTCCCACAATGCCAGTTGCACCAATGGTGCGCGGAGCCCCTGGCTTCAATGCTGTTCCTAGCCCCTCAGATGGCAACCTTAAGCAGCGTGTTAAGACTGAAATGGCAGTTGCCACCTCAGAGCCCTCAGAAGTATACGACCCAATGATGAAAGGGCCCCCAAATACAGTAGCCACAGATGCGCGCACGGGAAAGGAAGGGCCATTGCCGGCCATTGCAGAATTCAAGAATCCTGCAGTGTTTGATGCCACCAATATCAAAATTGAGCCCCAGGCTGGTGGTGCTGTTGACGGACCCAATCTGCTTCAAGCACAGTTTCAACAGAAACAAGGACAGGTAAATCTACTAAACCAAAAGCAAACACCACAACATGTGAATCAGCTACAGTCAAGCTATCGCAGTGCACAGCAGCAGCATGGTGGACCAAATCCAGGCACACAACTTAGCCATTATGCCAATCAGCAGCAGCAGCAGCAGCAACAGGTACTGCAGCAACAGCAGCAACAGGGAGGTGGCATCACTGCAACTGGTTCTCAGTTTGGAATGCAAATGTCAAGGTCTCTGCAGTCTCTTCAGGATCAGTTGAAACAGAGGCCTCACACCTTAGCAGGGGCCATAGGTGGCACTCAGAACCTCAACACAGCGATAAATAGAGCAAGGTTCTCCAACACAAGGCAGAATCAGGTTACCGGGAGACTGCCAAGTGTGGCCCAAATTTTTGCCCAGAACAGGTTAAATTCACAACAAGTACAGCAGCAGCAACAGCAGCAACCTCAGCAACAACAGCCTGCTGCGTTTCCAGTTGATGGAGGTATCCAGCAAGTTCGACAGAACATGCCAGGGACTCAACAACAGCAGTTGCTTCAGCAACCACAGCAGCAGCAACAGCAGGCTGGACAGTTTGTGCAGCAACGCCCAACATTGTCTCCTGCAAAGCAGCAGTTGCTGAGGCAGCAGATGCTGCAACGACAATTACGACAGCAGCAGCAAAGCCAACTGCTGAAGTTAACTCCAGAGCAGCGGTTCCTGCTGCTTACTAAGCGGCGCCAGCTGGTCCAGCAGAAACAGAATGAGTTTCAGATGTATCAGCGGGGACCTCCACCACGCTATGATGAGACCCAGCATCGGAACACAGCTTACGCCAACTCGCCTGGGCTCATGCAACAGACACCCAATGCCTCCACAAACCAAATGACCGGGGGCATAAGCAACAATGCCTTGATGGCAGGAAACATTAGGCAAGGGAATCCATTGCAGCAAACGGTGCAACAAAGTAACTTGCACCATCAGGGCATGCGAACCAATCAAACCATGATCCAGGCCGGACAGATTGGGACCACGGGCACACAGCTCTCACAGGGCCTGTACCCAAATCAGGCACAAGCCCAGTTCATCCAGAGGAGGCAACAGTTGCTTCAGAACTTGGGCAGAAATAATATGCAAATGCCTGGCCAGGTTGGCCAACAGACAGGGACAGTGCTGAACCAGCTGGGTAGGAGTAGGGTGCAGGGACCCAACAGTGCTACCAATTTAGGTGCAGCAGAGGCATACATGAAGCAGCAGATGAGGGTACAAAATCCAGGTCAGATGTCGGCCCAGAATGTCCAGGGGTCTAGTGCCATGGCAGGTAAACCCATTGGACAGACCCACCAAGTGTCCACTGTTGCCCGATTCCCCAATAACCTGATCAACACCTCGACCAACGTGAGGACCTTTATGCAGAACATGCCCACACAAAACATGAGCATCCACACCAGCATGACCACACAGGCTGTGCTGCAGCAGCAACAACAGCAGCAACAACAGCAGCAAGGCTATGGTAACCAGCCCAGCATTGCCACCTCCTCAGTTATGCCACCAACCAGTCACAGTGAGCCTTCCATAGTAACCGCGATGTCCTCAGTTGCCACGTCGACCACCCAGCAGGTGTCTTTTTCGGCAAACTCCACCAACTTGCCCATGGACCTGTTGGACAGTAATGTGAACCTGGGGAACACCACCATGAGTAATGTTGACTTTGATTTGGATCTCCTGGAAAATATCCTCAAAACAAAATAATGATGCATCAGTATCCTCTAATCCTTAGATTTTACACTTTTTGAAACAACAGATTGTAGCTTTCGGGATATGAAAATGCCATATTTTTCATCATCTACCTCAATAGACAAGATCGAAAAGGGGCTCACGACTCAATGACCCCACCAAGTAGCTATTGGTGGAGACAGATTTTTAATGAATCGTCTGATGCGATCATGACTAGAATGCAAATAACAAATTTACATGTACATGGACAGGTACCTGATAGCCTTGGAGCAGCCAATAAACACAGGTGCACATGTATGTACATATTTTGGCACTGTACATGTGTATGTGCACATTGGTGTTCAGACAAACTAGTAGCTACTTTGGCAGATATGTTCATGTATGTACTGGTACATGTGCATGTGACATATGCAGCATATTCTTCCAAATTGGCAATGGACATTTGTTCCATGGCATTCAACTTACCAGTTTTAGCCAAGACCTGCACCCATCTCTGTGTCAAGATCGTTGTTGTTATTTGTGGTTGTCCCATCATTTTGGAACATCCTGTCTGGTACTTATACAGTGTAAGCACATGTATGTCCAGTACATGTACATGCATTGTAATTCAATGCTATGTTTCTATGTAGAGAATTGTGAATTTCTGTTTATGTGTAAAGAGTTTAACTGTGCTTGTTATGATGCTTGTATTAAAGTTCAGGTCAAATTTTTCTTGTCCAACACTGTTATGTTGTCAACTTGTGTACATGTGCTTTGTAGTTCTGGACAGTCCAACTCAAATTTACGAATCAAGGTCAACATTTAAGAAACTGCATTGAAATGATATTTCCATTTCTCGATTTATAACCAGAAGCTTATGTGAGACTGACATTGCATTGGCCAAAGTGCACTACGTATAATAGAGGAAAATTTGTTAGTGTACTGTACAGTCAGCCAGCATGGTTATGGTTCATTTATTGAAGCTAGGCAATCAAATTATCAAGTGATTTCCTTTTTGTTGTAAGACAAATGATTATTGTGTGGTACTGGTACATGTACATCTATGTGCGCCATCTGGTGCATTTTTGTAGTTTCCTGTTATGTACATGTATTTGTGTTGCCCCAAAATGTTGTGGAGAATGTTTTACTTTGCAACTTAAAAAAAATACAACCAGCATTATTAACCCTAACCCCCGTAACATGTGGCTTGAATTGGCAAAATTTGCTAGCACTAGTCAGCCATCCGAAAACTTGAATTTGTTTAAAAGGGATATGAGACTGGATGCGTGGCATTTGAATTTGCATGGTAATTATAAACATAACACTGAGCATGTTGTTGGCTGCCGAAAACTTTTATTATATTTTGAAAAGTGTATATTGAAAAAAGACAAAAGCTGTTTTTAGCATTTTGTGGCCTTTTTGTAGTATTTTTGTTCTGTTTAAGATTTGGGCTAATTTTCCTGAAACTAAACAAAAGGTAACCTTTCATGCCTATCTTCATGTGGAACCCTTGCCTATTAAATTGCTTTTTTTTTATTTGAAAACTTGCTGTTAATTGCATTTGAAAAGAGTATGTTGGCAAGTTGTTTAAACTAACTACCTGACACACCTGCTGGTTCATCCCCCAGACAGATGACAAGTAAAGTTAATTGCTCACTGAAGGAGCACAGTACCATTTCTAAGGCTGAAGTAACAGTGTGTCATTTGCTCATTAAAGTATTCATGGCAATAATGTTTCCTTAAATGACAGAGTGGATCATTTCTTATTGACTCAAAGATCTCTCAATTTCCTTAAGTCACATGTTTGGAGAGATTTTGTGCCATTTCTGGCTTGAAAAGATCACACGATTACCCAATTTTTTTTGAAAAAATTTTCCGGAGGGGATTTTTTTTAACCCACTTTTTCAGATTCATATGAACAGCAAATTACACTGGGTGAAAGTTGTCAACTTTTTAAGAACATTTTGTAAAAAAGACAGTTTGTGCTTATTGAGTAAAAAAAAGTCAGTGCTTTTCAAAACCATTTTGTACAAAGCGATAAACTAACCGTAATTCTCCCAAAATGGAGGTTTTTGGCGGTTATATACATTTTTAAGAAACTATTTGTATAGTATAAATAGGACATTTCTCAAATTTATATAGAGTCTTTTTGAAAGTCATATGTCATTCATCAAATGTAAATATTGTTTTCTGTTGTGTAGTCGTCAGTCATATTAACAACTTGTACAATTTTGGAATGGCTTTTTTGTCTCAGATGATTTAATGTTGATAAGATTGTGTAGCTATATAAATGATGATGTTATGTTTATAAATTTACATGGAAACATTACTCTTTTTAGAAAGCAGGCCTTAAAGGGAAAATTGCATGGTAGTTTTAAATGTCCTCTTGCATGAAGACTGCTGCTATTTTGTATGCTGTTGTTTTTTTAATGGCTCAGCACAGTGAGGCAAAAAGAGTCAATGTTAAGGGGGGGGTTAAGCATTGGTACATGTAGGTAAATTGATCAAAAACTGTGTACAGATGTGTGTGTTCATATTATGGCACCTGTCTCCAAGGGACTCTTACTGTTAGAATCTTGAGATTTAGAACGGATGTATTTCACTATTTCAAGACAAACTGGCTGGTAAGGTAGTTATTGCCATCTTGTGTTTATTGTGTTGTCTTTGATGTCGCTTTGAACATGCAGCATCAGTGGGCTGAGTGATGGTTTGTGCGTGTCTTGAGACCTGAGCGTGGATGTTTTCCTGTGGGTTCCTTTTTCTTGTGAGTTTTAACTGAGTTCTCCTTTATGTGGGATTATTCAGTCATCCAGAAAAGATGTTTGTGAAGCAAATGTGAGCAGTCAATATACAAAGTATTAGCCTGGTTATCCTGTGAATTTTAATTTGCATGTTTAAGAAACAGGAACCTATTGTTATGATAGATAATGTACATTTGTGTAATTCTTAACGGTAAACGTTATGTTGGATTTGGTGCATGTTTCATAGAATTATAGAATTTATCATTGGCAAATACTTTAAATAATGAGGTGTAATTTAAACAAACCTGGGTTTGGAAATATGTCCTACTGTTACACGAGAAAAATATCATAAGATTTCCCAGAAAAGAGTCCCTTGAAAAATTCCCTCGAAAGGTTATTTTAATAAAAGATCCCTTATTTATGAACTGAACAACAGAATCTGTTGCCAAAAATGCCCTCATCACAAGAAGAAACAATGTATCCTTATAACCAGTATAACAGGTGTTGGGAAAGGTTGGTCGATTTAAATCTTGCTAGAAAGTTTTTAAAATTAGTGCCTTTCTCATATTTTTGTAGTAACAATGTCAGCTTTGATACCAATGAAATATTTTGTTCTCCAGAACCTCCTTTTATCCTGTGAAGGGAGTTCCTAGTCCAGGAGTTTTGTCAGCTATTCTTTAGCTGTCCAGTTAAGCCTCCTGCAACTGTTCACATGAGGATTGGTTTGCTCAGTAACGCAGAAGGCTAAGCCTTGTCAAGAGGAGAACTCTGAGATCCAGTGTGTGCTCTGATTCAAATCATGCCCTCTGTGATGCAAGCAGGCTGTGCACTGATGAATCGATATGAGAAAGTACCGGAAAAAAGAAAATCCTCATTTAGATTTTGAGTTGCAACTTTGTCCAACAATTGCATGATGAGAAAGGAAGACGTGTTGGCGTCACTGACAGTATTTTCCAGGTACTTTCCCCAAAATGGATGTTTCCCACCACCACCTGTTTTTTTCATAGTTTCAGTTCATAGTTCCTGAAGAAAAAAAATCAGTCTCTGTCAACCCCCCCCCAAAAGCTCCATCTACTTTGACCCTGTGTTTTTTCCCTGTTTAAACTAAAAGCACAAAAGAGTGCAGTCATACTTCCTGCTTGCGCTGCCATCGTTTTGGTGACTTCATGAAAGTCCAGTCTAGCAGGAAAGACATGATTGATACAAATAGTTCTTTTTGTCACTATGTTCCTGGTTTCTTGTGAAATTATTTTCCCTGTTTGGACTTCCAATGTTTTACACTCTTTTTTAGTGTCAGCAACTGTGTGTTGAAAGGTTTTGTCGGTTTATGTTGTGACATTAGAGAGTACTCACAACAAGTTTCCTTAATTTCTATATCCCTGTTTGCCTGTGCATGTCAAACACTGTGTACAGAACTGCCTGGATTTGCGACAGTTACAGATTAAGTAGCAGTGATGTGATGGTCATTATGTGTGCAGTAGAGCATGCATTCAGGATTTTTTTTTTTTGCCCTCTTTCAGCCATGCTTACTGGTGCATCTCTCATCACACAAACATTGCCATCACTTGACATTTGTGTCTGGATCAAAGATGAGGAAGGTACATGTGTCTCTTTAATAGGCCCACGAACCGATGATGTCATGCTTTGTTTATTCATACGGTATGTGTTTTCTTATAAGAGCCACATGGGGGCGGGGGATGACAAATTATAAGCTCCTGAGGAAAGTAGAAATGCGTATGTAAACAAAGCATATCATCAGAACATGGGCCTATTCTCAATCAGGCCAGAATGGCAGTCACTTGGTTCCTGGGGAGATTTTAAAGTTCTATTTGACACTATCCAATGGCCTTTTGAATTCCTGTGGAATGCACTTGGCCTGTTCGTGTTTACCAGGATCAGCATTGTGATTTTTATGTGGAACAACGCACACATAGACGCTCTTACATTGTAACCTGTTACTGTAACTGATATGTTTCGGTTCAGATACATGTTGGTTCAGAATTGGTACGCTTGATGTGATACCACAATGCAGAGCTTGTGGAAACAAATCTTCAAGAACCAAAGTGGGTCTCTTCAGAAATTCAAGTGCAATTGAGTATAGAAAGATTGGATGTACTGTGTACTTCACGTGGTCTGTGTGATCCATTTCTGGCTTTGAAATATCATTTTAAAATTTAAAATGGGAAATACTGTCATATTCAGATGGCCTGTTTGCCCGCAAGTTGAGGAAATAAGTGGAATAAGGCACTGTGGGAAAAAAGTGGGAAAAAGAAGCTGCATAAATACGATTACAGAATGAAAAAGTGTGTGAGAGATTTAAGGAAATTACCATCCACTGAATTTTGAACCAAAACTTACATGTAAAACTTGTTCACTTACATTTGTCCTTATTGATAAAGTTGGTGACTTTGGAATTTATGTAAGAAAAAAAAAGCCTTAAGAGTTTTTGGTTTGTGATTTGTCTTATCATGTGTAAGAGCACACCGATGACCTATCAGTTTATCTGTTCCAAAAAAAAAGGAACGTGATTTTACAACTCGGCATGTAGCCATTTTGAATTATTTTCCTCTTGAGAGAGCATAGAATGGGATCATAAGACTAATTCGACGAAAATCATCATTAAAACATGTTAACAAAATCATTAGAGAGAAAGCAAATTTAAAAGACCTACCAGCTTTACTGTAGTGAAATATTTCTTGTCTATTTTTGATTGCTGCAATTGTCAAAAGATCAGGAATGTTTTGATATCAACTGATTTATTGGTCCATTGAACCTATACTTGGCCCTTGCATTTGTTTCATTTGAGTTTAATTTTCGAAACCACAATTTAACTGTTTGACTTTCCTCTAGAAAAGGAATAAGATCATTTTAGTGGTATGGTTCAGTTAATTGTAAATATTATGTTAAGTGGAAGATGTCTTGTAGTCATAAATAAGAGCTTTTAAGTTGCTGTATATTGAGTCAAGAATTTAAGGCGTAGTAATTAATCAGTTCATGTGTGCGATTTCCATTGAAAAAAATTCCTAAGGATCAAAATGAAATACATGTAATTTTATTTATTGTTTTGTTTTCTTCTCAATATTAAAATGATAGAACAAATGTCTGGATTTTGTACCAAAATAAATAAGGAAAGCTATGTTTTGAAATATCAGTTCAGTTTCTGTTTTCATTAGACTTCCCAGTTGATCTATCTTCAGTATTTCAGGTGTTTTTATGAGAAGAGAAATACCCACAAGACAATGGGTCTCTTATTTGTCTTGTAGTTTTTCTCAATATTTTGATGAATACTGTTGTGAGTAGAATGCGCTCAATTTTGTCGAGGCCAAATTTGGCTGGTGTGGGAGACAGAATTAAGAGCCGAGTATCCTTTTTCCCCAAATAATTTATAAAAGTGTATGTGTATGGATGAGGTGAATTTTAATATAAAATTGTGGTTGATTCCAACAAACTTCTACCCTAAATTTAAAACATGGAATGGGGAACGGGAACACATGTACAGATGAAGAGGCTTGGAAATTATAGCCATGACTTCAGAAAGAAATTCTTATTGTGCCCTCAACGAAAAAAGAAAACAAAAGAAGTCAAACGTAAAAGGGTTGATAACAAAAATACAGAGAAAATCAGGGTTACAATATATCTAAAAACTGAAAATGTGGATTAAAATGCCTCTTTTATGTAATTTTCGTATATAAAGGATTTTTGTCAGTTGGTATAATCGAGTATACAAGCATATTTTAAATGTCTTTACAGTCTGAACTTGCTTGGATTCAGTTTCATTCATTGTATTCCAGATTGTTACAGCACACCTAAAATGTACTGTACTACAAATGATATTCAAGAAAATATAAACAAAAACCAGAAAACCAGAAATGACAAGGGGTAAAAATTGCATTTTTTCTTCTTTTTTCCCCTTTGTTTTATAGTTGGGGAAAGCATAAATTTAATGCTTTGTAATACTGCAGTGGTGCATTCTATGCATACACCTGACATATTGAAATATCTTGTAAAACAGTGAAATGACAAAAGAATTGGTTTCAACATGGGCTTGCTTTCTGTAATGAATTAATGCTCATTCATTATCTTCACAGGCAATAACTTATTTCTCTAAGTACATCACTGCATCCGAAATAAGCAAAGAATACATTCTTAAAAATCTGTAGTAAGACACAGTGCATAATTCTAATGTAACCATAAGAATCTGAATAGACTTGAGTGTTGAATACAAAAATACCTTTATTAAAAATACCTTGCATCTCAATTATTTAAAATATGTTCGAGGATGGGACATCATTTTAACTTTACACTCACAAACCAACATTAATGGGTTCATAAAATATTCATCTTAATCGAGCAAAGCGGGAATAGACCATGTGCCAGGTATTTAAAAATCATGTTCTGGTCACATGCCACAGGTTTTTCCACGTGAAAACACAGTAACTTCACATTGATTTGTGGCAACGAAATATTATTAAATAAGGTTTAAATTTTTGGTGTGTGGTGGCAACAGTGAGTTAAATCTGTGAAGGTACACGCAGCTGCTGGGATGATTTTCACGGAACAGTTGTACCGTGGTGTGGAAGTAACGCCACCGGCACGTTATTTTAATGCGCACGTTTGCGCAACAAGATCTGACCCATTTTGGAAAAGTTGCACTTCTGCAACAGCGTTGTATGATACATGCAGTAAATAAATCTGAAATAACTGTGACCATTGTAAAGCTTATCACCAATCATTTTATCACAGTTGATGATGGGAATTCATTGCTTTGTTTTGAAGGACAACCTAATATGTGAGAGTATGTAAAGATGCCCACCTGTGACAGAAAATTAACTTGTTGAAAACATCAGAATTTGGCTATTGTTTGGTGAGTGTTACAAAAATCGTACAGAAACGCCCCATGGTAATGGCACAAGCTGTGATTGTCCTTAGCACAGTGGTTAATACTGCTACGTTGCTTCATAATTCTTTGTGACATGTAGAATGCAAAGCTTTGCAACATATTTGTTGCATAAAATGTACCTACGGCACAAGGTCACACCAAGTCTTGGAAAATCAGCTGCTGGTAAAAAGTACACACTTGGTTCTCTTGGTAATGTGTTGAGCATTCAACTGCGCTGATGAACATACTGGCACCCGTACCCAGCATGCTCGGAGTGGTAATGGAAGATACCGAAATCCGACTCAAAAAGTCCTGAATTTTGCTTGATCCACTTTCAGTGTTCAATCTCTGCACATCAACCCAAACCCAGGCGTCGTGGCATTTCGGTCCATCGTACATTACTCGATACCCAGGATAATCTTCATATCTTTGCGCATCTTGAATTTTTGCACCTTGCCTGTGACGGTCAGAGGGAACTCGGATACAAAGTGAACTATCTTCGGGATCTTGAAGTGAGCAATCTGCAAACACAGAGGGTAAATTTATATACATGATGCAGGCACACAGTATCCCAACAGTTAAAAGTCACCCAGCAATGGAATTTCATGCAAGTTGATCCAGACCATTTTCATACTTTCGGCTTCAAGTCTGATTTTACTTGAAATGTCAATACTCTTAAACCACTGACTTCATTTTTTTGCACAGGAAAATGGAAAATTTACAGTTTCATTCTTGTGTCAAAGTTTTCAATTTTCTCTCAGAAAAGTGCAATAACTTGATATAATTAATGATGCTAAAATGGGATCCAACAGAAACTCATCACAACAGGCATCTTTTTGTGACTAAGTATAAGGGAGAGAACATTCATTTCTAACCTCGTCTTTGCAGAATTCCTTGATTTCTCCTTCCGTTGCTGTTTGTCCTTCCTTCAGCTTCACCCAGGCACACACAATCTCACCAAGACGCTCATCTGGAACACCGATTACCTAAAGAGAACATTGTTAGTCACTTGGATGACCAAGAGTTCACAGAGAAAGACATGTTCTATCTTTGTCAGCGATGAACCTAGGCCTTGAAGTTGAAGTACATGTAAGCTGTAAAATGTGTAGAGTTTGAGCAGATCTGCTCATTTTGGGGATTCAACCATTTTCGATTTTAGTTTGCAGCAATTTTATCTTTCTGATTTTGACTGCAGTCACTTGGACTTTAGCAACCAATCAGAGTTGGCCTTCCCTCCCTCCTCTCCCTCCCCCAAAGAAACAATTGATTTTTCAAATGCGAGTCACAACTTACGCCAGTGTTTAGCAATATGAAAGTACTACACACACTGCGAGGTATGAACCAGTACCTGGACATCAGCAATTTTGGGATGTTTGTACAGAAAGTTCTCAATCTCCACTGGATAGATGTTCTCCCCTCCTCTAATGATGACGTCTTTGCTGCGTCCTACAATGGACACGTAGCCCTCGTCATTCATTACAGCAATATCCCTGCAAGACAGGCACAAATGCAGTCTATAACACGCTCCTCAACGTTAACTTGATGTCTTACCTTTCAGTCTGAATACCAAGTGCCCTCTTTCAAGTCCAGCCCCCTATCAAAAACCATTTTGACTAAACTACTAAGAAACAACACACATCTGTATGAGAGCCACTGGCATTTTAGCTGCAATTGTTTCCAGAGAATGGTTGAGTTATTTTTAGCTTTTTAATGTTTTCTGTATCTGGGCAAAATAGTTTCTCAGTAATTTGAGCTGTATGAAGGAAACTACTTCATTCAGGCTGTTGACTGTGAAGTGAGGTCCTATGATACCTGCTGATTTATGTGTGTTTATGATTTACACTCATACAAATCAACGATTTCTGAAATGAACCATAGAAACACGAGGCCATTTGTTAGAAATTCATGGGAACTAAATTACAAAACAAAACACAGAGAGCAAAATATGATTGATAATGTCTCAACTTTCACTCACCCTGTGTGGAACCATCTCGCTGCATCGATAACTTCATCAGTCTTCTCCTTGTTATTCCAGTAGCCGATCATGGTGGTGTATCCTCGACTGCAGAGCTCACCGGACGTGTTGCGTGGCACGATTTCCCCAGTTTGCGGATCGATGATCTTCACCTTATGTGAGAAATTATTCATGCCATGTAAATATAAAAATAAATGTGTGCAATTCTTGTTTGCATCTTCACTTTTCTGTTTACTTAAAAGACACACTTTTTCTCTCAACCACTGCGCAAAGGGCCCATTTATCCATGTTGATTCTGCTGGGCCGGGTGATTTTTCATTATTTTTCTGTTTTTAAAATTCTTTAAAAATTCATAACTTTATTTACTAGAAGTTTACACCAACACAAATGACTGTCTGGTGGCTACTCTAACCTGACAGACAACATCTATTGACGTCTGAGTATTGCAGCCAGGCCTGCCGCCTTGTAAAAAGAGCCCAGATTGTGCGATGTTATGTAATTTTCTTTTGTTCCCAAAACCGGCAGTGTGCTGCTGACGCCTTTTCAATAGGGGCCAGATTACCGTACAGCGGTATTTTATCGGTCATCACTGGAATGCGTTTGTCCCCAATGGTAATCTGCTTGCGCTGAATGTCACAAACAGTGGTGTAATCTTCCCAGCAGCTCGGTCTTTTGTTCCGAGTACAGTCTTTGTTACAAGGCCCAGCTCTTTTGACGGATTTCAGGCACCCTGGCAATGCGTATAAAGCCAACGTCTCCAAAACCAGGCTCCCCGTCAGCAAGTGGTTAACACATACAGTAGATCGCATACAGTCTTCATGTGGTGACAGTGTTTTGACTTACTTCATTATTATCTGTTGCCTTGCCAACAGTTGAAACCCGTATGTCAATAGGATCATCTCGTCGAGTTTGGAAGATGACAGGAGACACCTCTGTCAGTCCATAAGCAATCTGCACAAAAGGGTAAGATGAATAATTTCACATCCTAATCAATGCCATAGGTTCTGTGTGCATGTGTAGAAAGAATGTGACAAAGTTTGACAGTGACACGTACTACTACAATCCTCATACAGAGTGATGAGATGAGTTTCTGCTGATACACATTTTGTGTAACTGTCTTTTCCTCTGGGCTCTTAAATACATCAAAACTATTGGACATCTCTTTATGATTAACTGTATTGAAAAGTACACTTCTTCAAACATTGGAAACTTTCCAGGCTTTTCCAGACAAATGAGGGGGACTCTTTTCGATGTCATTCTAGTGGAGACAGCCGTTACATTGACGTTTTCTGCCCAAACCAGCAAGACAGCACTGAGGTTTTGCTCATGGATATATAAAACTTTTTGCATAAAAACAAAAAAGGACCTAAAGTACACTTTAAAAAAATTGAAAATAAAGTCAAATGCGGTCAAAACGGTGCATTTTAAAGGACTGAATGCAGAAACAATATTGCACAGGCCCTGTAACGGTGACAATATCAATAACTCTCCTGCATCTCTTCTTAGTCCACTCAAACAGCCCTAGGAATGTCTCTCTTGTTTTCTCCTTACACAAATATCTTTCATGTTCAGCTGTGAGATACATTGTTTCATTGTCTCAACAGGACAAGGTGAGCCAGCCATGACACCGGTAAGCAAACTTGAGACATCCAACTCAGAACATCTTGGATGATGCAGCATATCAATGAACATGGTTGGTGTACCATACAGAGCTGTGCATCTGTTAAAGAAGGTGAGAAAGAAATAGGCATGAAAAAAAACCCCAACTTTCTTGTGCTCATTAGAGGTGGCAACGATAGGCATTCTCCCCTCTTTGATCAACTACAATAAGACTTCTAGTCATGGGGAACATAAGATCAATTTGACCAAAGGGAAGCTTTGCCATATATACTATCAAATCACCAATAGAGCCAAACTTGCCACTTGTCACAGATTTGAAAATCCCCAGAGAGGGGGTGAGGCTTGGATATAATCCATCAGGACGGAGCACCTTTCAAGCTGGACAAAAGTGGATACAATCCGACTACAGGTGGCGCTGCTCATAGGGTATATTATGCTGACAGTTACTAGGTTAATCCAAGAAGAATGGAAATTGAGGATGTGAATCCCCTATCTTCTAGCTCTACCCCTGCTTCAAGTATTTGTAAATCATATTGACTGTTGCTCTTCTTTTGTTGATAGTAACTCACAAGTTTCAATTGTTCTCTACTGACCCAGCCCTTTCCATGCCAATATTTTGCATAGTTTTCTCATGAGACTGACCTCTCCTTAGCAACAGCCTCTAGGGATGCCTCAGCCTCAAACCCAGGGGCGGGGAACACACAGGTTGCACCATGCACCATCCCTGCTAGAGTGCCCCCAACCATACCAAAACAGTGGTAAAGTGGCACAGGAACACAGATTCGGTGATGCTGGAAGAAACACATTCATAAACGCAGAAAAGATTACAATTTATGACAGAGGCAAAATAGAACCCTTGGGGTATCTTTCAGGCCTCTTTCGTAATGGTGAATAGCATTTTAGCTAGCAAGCTGTGCACCCACAGTGAAATCACGGCCCATTTTTTCAAGCATGGCCTGGCAGTGCAAATCAAGCCGTGCACTACTTAATTCAACGCTTGTGTAATATAGATCCATAAAAATGTGAAAATAAAACCTGAGCTAAAATTCAGTCTTTTCCCCATGCTTTTTCCTCCATCAATTAATCCAAAACAGAAAATATGCCACAGTGAAGTACATGTATGCCGGGACTATGGTTCGGATGTTTTTGCATATCAACGCCGGTAGGCGGGTTCCCTTACTTATAAATAATGAACTTCAGCACCGTATCTATCAACTTGTAACAAAATGAACACAGGAAGCCATACTTGTTCACCAGTGATCGATTATACATGTAATCAACCTCGTTCCATGGCGATTGTTAGCCGCCATATTGCGCCCACTCTTGCAGGAGGGACAAGGTTGAAATATGATCCTTTCCGGGCATGAGCTGCTTGCTCACTATATCATCCAGAATGAAACGAAGAATATAAGATTTCTTCTTGAAGCTAAGGGTTGACCTACACATAATCTTTATCATTGTCAACAATCAGCATAAAGCTTGTTTAGGTTCTTCTACCTTAACGATGGAAAAAACTGTCCATCTCTTCCAATGCCTTGTTCCGACTCATGCACAAGCGCGAGCACGTGGCCTGCGTGGTGTACATGGGTGCGTGTACAGTGTGCATGTACAAGCACTATGCATGTATTTTTTCATCCACATAGAAGTCATGTCTTGTACTCAATTTGCTTGTTCTTAGCCAAGCAGCCAAAGGAAACAAGCATGTAGGAATACTGGGATTCATTTTATATCATTAGTTATTTTGTTTGCTTATCTCATAATAATCTGAATGTAATATATTGCAAACAAAAAGGCACAAAAGCGTGTGTCAAGTACTGATCCACATTACCTGCATAACATATTTTTTTAAAACAAAAGAAAGTGGTTATAAGAAATCTGTTCAAAGGTTTTTGTCATTATTCGCTTCTTTGTTGCAGGGCTGTTTTAATCACACTATATAAAACAATTGCAGAAAGTTTTACAAACGAATTTTGTCTAAAAGCTGTTATTTTTTGTTCCAAATGGCAAAAATCTTATTCAAAAATGTCAGATATTCATGAGAGACCACCAGAGAGCATCTAAAATAGGCAGAACTTCCAGGGCCCTTAAGAAGGCCCTGGATCCCGGCCGTAAGGGACTTCGCACTGCGCGCTCATGTTGCATGCTTCACACACAAATTTGAACTCTAACAAGATTGCACTCCCACTTTTCAAATCCTAGCTAAAACACTGCCGGTGAGAATTTCTCTTTCAGCACTGATGACAAGCAAATGCATTCAGTTCACAATATTTTTGCTTGAGGTTTAACTCAATTAGGCATCGTTTACTCCCAATGGCTTGTGCCTCACTACATTTGAAATCAAGACACACCTGTTCATTGAAGCCGCAGGTCTGTCCTATATAAAAAGCATTGTTGACGATGTTGTGATGTGTCAGCATTGCACCCTTTGGGAAGCCTGTAGTACCCTGTAAAGAGAAGAGGCCGCAAAAACCCTAATTTTTTACAAAACCACAGATTACCTGTTTATGTTGATGCTAAAAATCCCCTCATCTCCCACTAAATAAGACAAGTAGCAGACAGTAGCTGAGATTGCTGCCCCCTGATATTCTCAGGTCATTCATGTGTGTGATAGCTACAAGGCAAATGAAAAGCACAGTGCATTCAATTGAAAGGTATATACGGATCACAATATCTCAGAGTGACAGAAGCACTTCTTCTTTTGCTTTGATTTCGATAAAACAAAATCAAACCCAAATATCCATGTGCAATGACAATTGCTGATAACAAGTAAATCTCACTGAGGTGAATTGTATATTGATGGGCTCATCAAACTGTGTCCTCTTCTCATAGTCGTCCCTCAGTTCCTCCTCAGTGCTGCCGCCCATATTATGAAGGTCATCAAAGTTGAACGTCCCAGGCAAATTATCCTTGCCTCTGAAGATGACGGTTTGCAAATCTGGAAATCTATATGTTAGGGGGTTGTACAAACCTATGGTGAGAACACTACAGACAGAATCTTGACTCCGAACACTCTGCCATTCTCTGGCTTTATTTTCACAGGTGCATATACCAGGCTGTCAACACTAAAACTGAGCCAAAACACTAATAGAGACTCCATCAATGAAGTGGGGACACTGTGCCTAAAGTTGTTGGACATGGCAACTTGGATATAACTTTGAATGGTCCTTCTGTTTCTTTCCTTGTCTGTAAAAAAACTGAAAGTAAAATTGACTGAGGGGTACAATATACCCCTACCCATTATATGAATTTGAGATTAAGCCATGTAAACAGCTTTATTTGAAATAAATTATGCTTACTTGGCACTTTTCAGTTGTCCCGGTTTGTCCGTTTCAAGTTCAGGACAGAGTTCTTGAAGCATTGCATAGTAGTCTAACGTTCGGAAAGTCTTGTCACAGACAACAGCTTTGCATTGAGACTGGGGACAACAAAAGTGAGACCTGAGGAGTTAATGATGAAGATGATGATGCTGAATGCATGCCACAGCCGTGCTCTAAAAAATGAAAGATCTAGTCTACAATGCGGACAAAAGAAATGTCTGCACTCGTAAGAGAATCAAGGGGTTATTCAGCCAGGAATTCATTCAGGATTTACTCAGGTGGTACAGGGATTTTTCCCAGTCACTGTATAAATGATTCATGCTGGTCCACTGGAAAGACTAATTTTATTTGATGGCATATGGAATGTTCCATTCGATGAGATGAACCAAATGGAATAGAATACTTCATCTGTGACTAAATTATTTGTGTGGATTTGTTGCAGTTAACACATTTGTGAGACAACTTTGTAGATTCTCAACATTTGAGCAAATACATGTACATGCCCCTCAAACCCAAATCCCCCCCTCCCACAAATGAAGAAAATCGTGAAGCACAAGAATGATTCCAAATCCTACCATTTTCAGAGCATACTCCAACTCGTGCACTCTGTAGACAGGATTAACATTAACCATAATGGCACCAATGCGTGATGTGGCAAATTGCGTGAGCACCCATTCCAGAGTTGAAGGCCCCCACATACCAACTCGGTCTCCCTTCTTAATACCAACAGCTAGAAGTCCAAGCGCAATCTTTTCAGTCTAAAATAAGCGTAGGGTATGAGAGAATGTAACAACATTAAACTCAAGCCGGGTACATTTATGTTGTTCAATCCTAACCACCTCACTTATACATTTCTACAGGGAATGATTTTTTTAATGCACATAAATGGACTCCTGTGAGTGACTCCTGTGTAATACTGATGTACATGTAGATACATTCATACACAGAAAACAATGAGGAGTACACTGATTTGAATTTAGTTGGGACTTGACTGCAGTGTGTATTTCAAATATCCTGAGTCTAATACAACAATACAGTGGCGCTGGATATATCTCCCAACAATGCACCTTTGAACTGGTAAACAGTAGAGGTACCTGGCTTAAGTTGATTACAAATGCAAACATAGAACTTCACAGAATGACTCAGCACTTGTTCACCTGATTGCCCAAAATGTAATCCCTGTGCAAAGTGAAGTACAACTGTGTTGTCAACTTTCTTTAAAAATAAAAAAGACCAAAGGCCTTAACATTTGTAACCGTGAAGTTGAATCAGTGTAAGTTTTAATAGTGATGACCAGCTGTGAGTGCTACCAAGACAAGCTAATGTTAACGTTTACATGTATGTTTTTCAGACTTGAACAATCCCAACATGTTTGGATTCCATTGTGTTTCTATCCAACCATATGGCTCCTAATTCTGTTCAGTATCAACTTTCAATTTTCCACTGAAAAAATCTCACAAAAGCAATAAGCAAATTCTATTTTGAAAACCCCGATTACTATCTCAAACTTATTCTGAAATTAAAAACCAAAATACAATACTGTCATGTAAAAAAAACCAGATTAAACACCTCCTCTCTGAATTCTTCAAAAGTTCTTCGTATTCCATCTCTGAGGAATACATATGCATCTCTGTCAGGGAATTTCTCAGTAGTTTCATCCATGACCCGCCCAATGGTCTTGCCAATGAGCGGGGTGGACCCTGCATTGTGAAAGTAGCTTAACTCGCTCTTGGAGAGGACAGAACTGGAATAAACAAGAGAAGAAAATGAAATGAGCAAATTACTGGGATTTTCTCGGGTTGCTATTGCCATTATGCAGTGGAAAGGTGGCATAAAAAAATTAAAAATAAAGCGTTACATAGTTCAAAGGCTTGTCCACTATTATAAGCAAGTACCAGTGTTGTTGTACACAAACTATAGCATTTCCCAACTACAGTTGGAATATGGTCTTTACTGTGGTGTAACAGTTGAACTGGTCCAATTGTGGCATATGTGCCAATAATAATAATTATTATTGTTATATCATGTGCCATCGTTGTTTTGTACATGGGTGCAATCAGTTAATTGGCTCAATCGTGTGATTGCCGTGTACTATACTAGTACTTTATTCTCATTTTTGAAATAATCCACCACAATTGCAAATCAGAAAGACAAGGCGATTTGCTGATGGTGGCATTATCTATAGTACAATGCTCGTGCAAAAAAAAATGACAGATCACGTAAAGATCAACTAGTTGCCCTACTGGCAAACATAACCTAACATTTGATTTTGTTTGTGTCATGGCAGTAAACACCAGATTGGTATTTCTTTTTTGCAGAATTGTGAGCCACAAAAACCTGGAGAATGTTAATAAATTTTCTATGGAAATATGCCAGCTATAACATGAGTTGTACCATGATTGGACCAGCCAAATTTCAACATTTTTGGACTGTTGCAACTAGGCCTCTGCTAGTACTACATGTACTTAACAATGATTGAAAATTGATAATGCACCGTTTCCATAAAAACGATTCAACAGCGCAGTACAGTACTAAACATTTACAAGTCATACTTCATAGCCCTTATCAGCTTATGGTAGTTTACAGTGTAACACACATTAGGGCCTTGCGCCTATATACGAGTCATCATGGAGGAACTCAGGATGGAGGGAGCCTCCATACCATAAACTGCTCCATCATGATATACATGTAAGTAAAAATGATGTACCAGTACGTGATGAATAGTACTGTGAACATTCGAACACTGAGGTAGGGCTTACATGTACATCTAACATTATGCCATCCGTGAACACGTTCCAGCCCTGTACATTTTGTAAATAGTGTAATGTAGCTCACGACTGGACCAACACCGCATACGGGTGCCGGGTACGTCCCTACCTGCACGACAGGTGACGATGGGAAGTATTGGTTGGTCTCCACTGCAGCTTTGCCCGTAAACATATGGAGCTGGAGCCTTTCAGAGCAAGTTTCTTCTGCAGACCTCGAGGCCAGCTGCTGATCCTGCCATACCTCCCAATAGTTTGTAGTACATTGGCCATTTTTGTTCAGAATGTGTAAGAACTGAACACCAGGTTAGATGAATGCCGCCCGCAGCCACGTTATAATCGTCAGGCGATACTCGACCGAACTTTGTGCACTCGGCTGGGCCTGTGCACACACAGTGCAGTGCTCGTAGCCTATTCTCAAGCGCTTGAACATACGTAAACATACGAATGTTCTGCCAAAGTGCGCATGCGCACAAGTTGCATGTAACAACTGCATGTCTGATCGCGCTCTGATTGCAAAATGAGATGAGGCATGGATTTCCAGGAAACTGAGTATAAATAGTTAAATTTTTCATGACAGATCCAAATTACATCAATCATTTCATTTTTCTGCAGCACTTATTTTGTGCCCTGCCTCTAAGAGGTAATGAAATGAGGGGTTTTCACTATAACTCCCAAGTTATTTTATTTTTTACAAGAAAAAAATGTGTATTGCCAAATTATAGGTTTTCCTGGTTATAAAAACTAGATACATGTACATATAAAGTGGAAGACTGTCTTAATCGATTGCACGCGAAAATTGGGGCTCTGCTGGACAAAAACGTTTGTAGGCTACATGTGTAAAATAAGTTCGAATTTAAATTTTCGCGCCAAATCGTGTAAATGCAGATATTTTAAAATGGAAAAATCCGTCACATATCGAATCTAAAATTATTTTATGTCCTAATAAAACTTAACTGTTAGAGTCAGGAGTTATTGCTTCGTCGAACTTTTGACAAAAAAGGGGATACCCTCTACTAAGGGCAGACTTTTGTGTACATAAATTCTTACAGCGGGAGTCACGGGTCAAGTGCAGTCGTGTATGTATACGTTTACATGTGTACTTGTACGCGTGACGTGTTCATGTTCATTCAGATGCGCTGAGGCGGACGCGGCGACTTTGACGTCGGGGTACAGCACTGTAGTCCATGCCAGCGGTGTTCCAAAGACGACACGTCGCTGTCGCCGTCGCTTTGCCAGACTCTTGAGGGCGAATTTTTTCTTGGCGGGATGGCATTGTTTGATGTGCTCGTTTTGCGCGCTCGGAGTTATATCCAGCCAGAAATGAGACCGAGGAGTACCCCCAACATGTCCAATCGCTATACACACTCTAGATTATTAATTGTTATCTAATACATCCTCCTAGATATCTGAAAAGAATTCCTCAGTTTCCAGTGAGACAATGACCGACACAAAGCGGGGGGGGGGGTGTCTCTAGCTCCGTCTCATATCTTGCGTCATATGCTCTGAGTTAGCAGACAATTGATGAAATATTGAAAAACCTTGGCCTAATAAGCCTTCAATGCCCGGTTCACGTATTTAAGGGTATTTAAAATTCATCGGCCAACCTACTAAAAATTGAAAGGAAAATTAAAAAAGGATTGCCAAACATCGTTTTTCTGTGCAACCTGAACACCTGCGAAAGTTTGGAGTATTTTTTAAATATTTGTGAAGTATGGGGATTTATCACTGCTGTCTACGAAATTTACTAGCTGTGGTGCACCCATAAAAAGACCGAGAAGAGCTTACAATATGGGGCGCTCTCATGAGCCCACTTGTTGGCGACGGCGACGTGACGTGTCGTCTTTGGAACACCATATTATGGAACTCCATTTGAAATGGAAATGTCTCTAATTTCACGATTCTACCCTATTAAATGGTATCAATACTAACGAAATCGGTACAACAGAAAATCATCCTAGTGTTGGATATACCATTTTGGTAATGTATAATGGCTTCAAATTTTCGTGCACCATTGGATCGATACGATTTAGGGGTGATTCAAAATGACCTGATTTTTTTTCCAGTTGCTTCAAAATAAATGCATGAAGTCAATGCAGTAAGGGTGAATCTTTAATTTGGTGCTAGATTTTTGTCTCAGAAAACTTATTTTCTATTATTTGATGAACTGAGTGCAAAATTTGGCAATTTCGATTTTTTCTTTGGTAGAAAGGGTCCGTAAAATCCACTTCTTTTATACTGTTGTGAGATTTACGGTTACTTAAAAACGTTATGAATGGAGGAAAATTGTGTTTTGTTCGTGCTGTTGCGTTTAGATTCTCTCAAAACTTCTTTTTACTGTTAAACTTTGGTATAAGTTTACGAGGTCAGTCGTTGAAAAATTCTGCGCTGTAACATCGTCTGCAAAACTGCTGTTGTCTGCTTGAAAGTAAAGTCCGCATGCGCGCTCGGAATTTTCTCCATGGGGCATAAACCATTGATCATCAATTGGAATGTCAAGGCAGAAGTCATCATAAAGCCATTGGTTATGATGTAGCTTGAATGTTGAGGCTGGGAGCCGATTGAGCGGAGAAAATATGTAATATTTCAGCAAAACAAAATAAATTGATTGGTTTCCGTCAGATATCTTTCCAACTTAGCAGCAGTTCGTAGTGCTTGGCGGGAACCAGTCTTCCTTTTTGTGTCTGAGGCCACAACACGTGCTCTAAATGCGCGCGCAGTCTAAATTGCGATGGCGGGTGTTTAGAAGGTGTTACAGAATTTGTGACTCGTAATTTGAAGCAGAAGTATTGGGAGAGTATTGGGCTATTTCTTCTTTTCTGCTACCAGACGGTACGAGGGTTGGTTAGTAACAGCTATTCGGTGGGTATTATTTCAATGAATTTGAAACCAACACTTCAAAATGAACTAGTGCGATTTATTGTTGACGTTGAATTTGTAGAGTGTCGGAAAAAGGGTTTGTTGGCATGTGTCATGGTTTTCTCCTCCCGTCAGTGGTGTATCCAGGATTTTTTTTTTATAAAAAAGACTTCATAAGAGAGTAGGAAAGGAAATAATCGGTGTTTTTGTCAAATTCTATCACCAACCCCCCCCAAAAAAAACCACACACACAGACACACACAAAACAAGGATATAGGGACTGTGAATGGTTTTTTCCGTGGAACATCTTAATGTCATAGGAAGGACGATGGATTTAATTTTTTTCTAGCAATAACCACAAGCCTGGTATGGTTGGAAAGAGCAGCTCGAGAAAGTCATTGGTGTATCACCTTCATAGCTTGTAGAGTTATGAATGTTTGAAAGATACTAGTAAGGGTATATGTGTCTGTCACGTAAGTTTCATTTACATCTATTTTGTAGAATGAAACTGGCATCGGTTTATTAGTTTCCCTGCTGAAGCCTATTATTACCGAAACGACAGCCTGCAAGTACTGTCAGTCATGCTTAAATAGGCTTTTGGGCAATAAATGGCCACATTTTATGGGTCTCAAGACTAACCTCAGTTGACTTATGTAACTGTTACATGTACATGTATGCTGTTGTGCAAACAATTTTGGAGTGGAGTGGTTGAAAACTTGAAAGTGAAACAAATGCAAATACCACCCTAAGTACTTTAGGCCTAAAGCTGGACACGCAATATCTGATTATTTAATTACATTTTTATCAAGGATTTCTGAAAATGAAGGAAAAATGTGGAGTTTGTATTTTTAAGGTGTCATTTATAAGAAGTAAAGTATAAAAACACAACAGACTATTACAGAAAGTGTGGGCCATGCGCGGGCATGTACAGACATGCACAACATGCCAGTAAAAGATTGTCTATGCATGCAACATTTGACCATTTTAAACAATACCCCCAGAACTGTAACCCACACTTCGAAGAAACTCCCAGGTCCAAATTTACTGGTTCATAACGCTACAGGATTTTGAATGTGCCCAGTTATTGTGCCTGAAACTGCATTTTCTCAATCAAATCTTTTCCCAAAATGCTGTCAATACTTAAAAATACCTCATTAACTTGCATGCTATATGAGTTGTGGACAAGTAACCATCTAATTTTTAGCAAAATCCAGACATTTTACTTAGGATCCTGCCTCTCTCTTCACCGACAATCAGCACACCATGAGCTTCATACTGTGGCGCATGTCCATTGAAACAAAGACTGGTTCCCATTCTGTTGCAGTACTCTAGACTTATATAAACTGACAGCAACCAGTCCAACAATGCAACTGTAGCGGAAGGGTTTCAGCAACAAATAAGTTT